ATTTGACGGGTCAGGAGGGCAACAATTGCATAACATGTGGGATATGGGGAGGCTGCAGTGGCCTGATGGCAAGTCTTGCAGTACAAGAGGACACCGACGAAGGGACTGCGAGACGACAGTGACACCTAACATGCTAAACATCATGGGCAGGAATATTGGCCACAGCCGAATCTGACACAAGGTCAAGAATGGTGATCTCAAACCCCAAACTTCCCTTGAAAACAGGCCTGATTTGGATTTTGTCGGATGCACTTTGAGCAGGCGACTCTTGACGCACCGCGGATTTGCAACATTTCAACAGAGATTTCAGTGGAGAAGGGCACGCCTGTTTGCTATATGCCACGTTGCGCAAGCGCATGCCTAGTGGCAGTGCCCGCAGTATAGAAGCAGAATGCTCATTGTGAGTCTCCAAGCCTCCAAGCACTCCATTGCATCTGTCATCCTAAAGCAGTAAGCAATCTGACCTTGGGTGCATGACATCGAAGGCTGCCATCTGCAACCCAAATTGTGCGTTGAAGAGACGTTGAAGCGTTGTATGATAACATTGGTTTGGAGAACTCAAATGACTTTTTCTCGTCGACGTCAAGACTGTCGGTGTGCATGACTTGCAGCCTATGTCAACCATGTGCACGACACTGCAACATGGTTGTTGCTTGACAGCAACCCACCTTGGAGCACAAAAAGGTTCAAACTGCCTGTGGCAAAGAGACAAAGCATCCAAAGAAGCCCATTTGAATTTCCTCACCCCATCTTCTTTGGTTCCTTCAAGATCCGCTCGGAGCTCATACGCCTGAAGCTCTAATTTGTGCCTTTCAACCAACAGCCCTTTGCAAGCAGTGTCACTGACAATTGTACTGCGTGCGCGTGATGCATTTCGAAGAGGAAAAGTCTTTTACTGGGACAGGTACACAAACTGCTTGGACAAGACACGACATATGCAAGCTGCAGCTCTTGCAAGATGCATTGAATCGATATGATATAAAATTATCAGTTTCAGGCATAGTACCAACGGACGGCGCAGAACAAGAAGCATGACTCCTGATGTGGCAAAAGTCTGCGCTCTCCACTCGTTACGTCGGTTTGAAGGCCCTCTAAAAAGAACGAAAGACTTGTCACGCCTCAATGAAAATCTCGGTGTCAAAAAGATTGAAGGGCAAAAGTTCTGACATATGCACCTTTGTGCAAAAATATCACTTTGCCACATCAAAATCTAAATGATAGAGAGGCTGCTGCCCAGTATCAGTTGGCTCTTACGACGCTAGCAAGGCCTGCAGTACAACAACATGATAAGCGCGAGCCTCCAACTACTCCGCGGCATCCAAGAATCAATTATAACATTAAGGAAATTTCTGACAAAGGATCCAGGTTGGCGAGCCGCAACCTGCACTTGCTGACTTAGGAGTTGTGCGCAAATGACAATATCAGCATATCTCCAGTCATGCGTTTTGCGCTTGATTTTTACCATTTCAAGAATCCTCAAGAGGGTGTCTTAAGTTTCTGATCTTGCTAGTTTTGGCTTCATGACTTAGGACACGTGGCTTTTGGCACGTTTTACTCTTTCCTCATGACATGGGAGTTGTGTTTTTGACTCTCCTCCGACAAATCCTATGTCAGTGGTGGCTAGTATGTCAGTGTCTTGTTCCTGTTCCTATCACTTTGCCACATAAAATCTAAGTGGATGGAGAGGCTGCTGCCCAGTGTCTTGGGGGAGACACAGGCTGGCCTTCTGGAATTGACCAGTTGCTGGGGCCACCGAAAAGGGCAGGAAAAGTTACCTCCCTGATTTATGCTGGAATCTTGCGCAGCCCCTTACGCGAACACAGTGTTTGCTTACGCGCAGGATCGTGCGAGAAGGTTGTTACCGAAAGCATGTGAGAGGTTGAAGCATTGTATGGCATTGGGTTGGAGAACTGCAATGTCTTTTTCTTGTCAATGTCAAGATTGTTGATGTGCGTGACTTGCAGCCTATGTCAAACACATGCGCGACACGGCAACATGACTGTTGGACTGGACTCTTGCGCAGTTCTGAGAAAAATGCACTGGGAATATTCATGCGACACTAGCAAGGCCTGCAGTACAACAACATGAGAAGCGGGAGCCTCCAACCACTCCGTGGCATCCAAAAATCAAATATAACATTAAGGAAATTTCTGACAAAGGATCCAGGTTGGTTGTTGATGGAAACAAATCTGATAGGATACAATATCGATTCAAGCACCCCCATGCATTTCACGGGTCAGGAGGGCAACAATTGCATAACATGTGGGATATGGGGAGGCTGCGTTGACCTGATGGCAAGTCTTGCAGTACAAGAGGACACCGACGAAGGGACTGCGAGCACGCCAGTGACACCTGTCAAGACATCGAATGTGACAGCAATGGCCTTGCCATGTCCAGTGATGATGCGGCTGATCATCACTGATGTGAAACCAAGAACGAAAGCAAATAGGCACAGGCTAGCAGGGCTTCTGAGAGGATGCTGAGGCCAACGGGGGGCGAGCAGCAAAAGGTGGAAAATTGAGGAGGTGTCATGTTAAACATCATGGGCAGGAATATTGGCCGCAGCCAAATCTGACACAAGGTCAAGAATGGTGATCTCAAACCCAAAATTCCGTTGGAAACAGGCCTGATTTGGATTTTGCTGGATGCAGGCGACTCTTGACGCTGAGGTGGACTTGCGCCATTTCAACCGAGATTTCAGCGGAGAAGAGCAGGCCTGTTCGCTATATGCCAGGTTGCGCAAGCGCACGCCTAGTGGCAATGCCCGCAGTATAGAAGCAGAATGTTCATTGTGAGTCTCCAAGCGCTCCACTGCATCTGTCATCCTAAAACAGTAAGGAATCTAACCTCGGGCGCAGGGCATCGAAGGCTGCCATCTGCAACCCAAATTGTGCATTGAAGAGACGTTGAAGCGTTGTATGATAACATTGGTTTGGAGAACTCAAATGACTTTTTCTCGTCGACGTCAAAACTGTCGGTGTGCATGACTTGCAGCCTATGCCAACCATGTGCACAACACTCCAACATGGTTGTTGCATGACAGCAACCCACCTTGGAGCACAAAAAGGTTCAAACTGCCTGTGGCACAGAGACAAAGCATCCAAAGAAACCCACTTGAATTTCCTCACCTCATGTTCTCTGATTCCTCCCAGATCCGCTCGGAGCTCATTTGCCTGAAACTCTAATTTGTGCCTTTCAACCAACAGCCCTTTGCAAGCAGTGTCACTGACAATTGTACGACAACATGATAAGCGCGAGCCTCCAACCACTCCGTGGCATCCAGAAATCAAGTATAACAGTATAACATGAAGGAAATTTCTGACAAAGGATCCAGGTTGGAAAGCTGCAACCTGCACTTGTTGACTTAGGACACCTGGCGTTTGAAACGTTTTACTCTTTCCTCATGACATGGGAGTTGTGTTATTGACTCCACCTCCGACAAATCCTACGTCAGTGGTGGCCAGTATATCAGTGTCTTTTTCCTTTTCCTGTCACTTTGCCACATAAAATCTAAGTGGATGGAGAGGCTGCTGCCCAGTGTCTTTGGGGGAGACACAGGCTGGCCTTCTGGAATTGACCAGTGGCTCGGGCCACCCAAAAGGGCAGGAAAAGTTACCTCCCTGATTTATGCTGGAATCTTGCGCAGCCCCCTTACGCAAACGCATGTGAGAGGTTGCAGCTTTGTATGGCATCGGCTTGGAGAACTACAATGTCTTTTTCTTGTCAATGTCAAGATTGTTGATGTGCGTGACTTGCAGCCTATGTCAAACACATGCGCGACACGGCAACATGACTGTTGGACTGGACTCTTGCGCAGTTCTGAGAAAAATGCACTGGGATCATTCATACGACACTAGCAAGGCCTGCAGTACAACAACATGAG